AGTATGCTAATTATTCAGAAATAATATTCAGGTAGAACTAGTGGTCCAAGAAATTACTCATGTAAGAGTAAAAAAGTATTTGGGAAAACGACAACTCAAAAAAGAGAAACTTAAACTTAACTGGCTGGACATAAGATGTGATTTACAATTTGGGGAAAGGCATTTGAAACAAAACATTAAATAATGTCTTTAAACTTTAGCTCAAGAAATACTAGAGTACTGTTATTTCAATTAAAACATTACTCAAGTACTATGCTGTTAGAAACTGTTAGTACAGTTTGATTACCAATTTACTCAAGTAAATGTAACTGAGTACTATCCATCTCTGGATCCAAGAGTAGTGCAGCAGAAAAGTGACAGGAGACAGTTATTCCATTAAACATAAATCTTTGTAAACTGCTCACACGTCTCATTTCAACTCAAACATGTGTGTGCCTTTAAGAGCTGACACTTCCTCCTCAGATCTGCACAGAGCGGTGGGTGCAGCTTCCCCTGTCTCTCTCTCTCTCTCTCCACTATTAAGTTTCATTTGTGTTAAAAGTGAAAGTGTTTGTGATCCAGCAGAGATGGCGCAGAAAACACTCGACCAAGAAGCCTTTTCCTGCTCCGTGTGTTTGGATCTACTGAAGGATCCTGTGACTATTCCCTGTGGACACAGCTACTGCAGGAACTGTGTCCAACAGCACTGGGACCAAGAGGACGTCAAGCAGCTCTACAGTTGTCCTGAATGTCGCCACAGCTTCAGCCCCAGGCCTGTCCTGGTTAAAAACATCATGTTAGCAGCTGTAGTAGAGCAGATAAAGAAGACAGCGCCCCCTGCTGACCGCTGCTATGCCGGACCTCAGGATGTGTCCTGTGATGTGTGCACTGGGAGGAAGCTGAGAGCTGTCCAGTCCTGTCTGCAGTGTGTGGCCTCTAACTGTGAGCGCCACCTACAGCCTCATCATGAAGCTGCAGCGTTACAGAAACACCAGCTGGTGGCACCGTCTCACAGGATCCAGGAAAACATCTGTACTCAACATGACAAAGTGATGGATCTATTCTGCCACAGAGACCAGCAGCTGCTCTGCTCCTCCTGCTCTGTGGACCAACATAAGGGTCATGACATAGTGACCTCTGCCTCAGAGAGGGCTCAGAGGCAGGCAGACACCATTCACACAGGGAACCAGAGCTACTTGAAGGAAGTGACCAGACCTGTGTCCAAGCTCAGAGACACACTCCAGCTCACTCTGAGTCCAGTCCAGGTTTTACTGGCACCAGCTGAACCCAGCTCCAGAGACGACTTCTTACAATATTCTACAGAAATCACTCTGGACCCAAACACAGCTCATACATGGATGTCTCTGTGTGATGGAAACACAAGAGCAACAGTTATGAGTGAACCCCAGAGTTATCCAGATCATCCAGACAGATTCAGTCAGTGGTGTCAGGTCTTGAGCAGAGAGAGTCTGACGGGTCGCTGTTACTGGGAGGTGGAGTGGAATGTGGGGCTGGCTCGTGTTGCAGTTTCATACAGAGATATTCAGAGGAAAGAATACTCTAAAGAATGTTTATTTGGAAACAATGATAAATCCTGGGCTTTACAATGTTATTCCAACAATTATTCATTTTGGTTTGACAAAGTCGAGTCTCAGGTCTCAGGTCAGGTCTCAGATCCTGCCAGGCCCAGAATCGGGGTTTACCTGGACCACAGTGCAGGGGTTTTGGCGTTTTACAGCGTCTCTGGACGTACTATGAGCCTCGTCCACAGAGTCCAAACCAGGTTCACTCAGCCTCTCTATGCTGGACTCTGGATTTATAATACTGAGAACACTGCATGTTTCCTAAAAGTCAAATAGAAGCTTTGTTCTTCACAATTTGGGCTCAGTTTTGTGACTTTTACTTTGAACGACTGTATATACGTAAAACTTTATCATTCTTTACAAGGCGTGTTAAAGAATCTATACCTAAACACTAATCCAAATCCAGGACTAATATCAAAACCAGATACTAATTTGAACAATTACTGACTCTGGAAAAAAAACACAAAACAAAACAAAAAAAACAAAACAAAAACATATACATATATAAGAGAAAAAAATACCGTTGGTCTATATCAGAACAAAGAAAATGTTATTATATTAATTATATTCTGTCCAAAGACTTTATTATCTAAATGAAAAAAATGTTCCTCTGCTTCAAATCAAAAGTTTGGCCTTGTGTATAAGATGAACTCTTAGCTACATTACTGTTCACACTATAATCATTTATACTGTTACTGGTTTTTTTGAACTTTCTTTCACTTCAAATGTTCTTCTGTAAACTTCATGTGTGTTTGACTTTTTGCTCGATCATTATGTAAAAAGTGATTTTCTTATGTCATGTAAAACTCCAGCAGTGTGTTTCTGTCTGTGATGAAACTTTTGACATGAGTTGAATGAAAGTGTAAAGGTGTTTAAACAATTCTGATCATCTTTACACTGGAATTTTGAAACCACAAATACATTTGTAAACACTAAATTATTTTTTTCATGTGGACTTTTCAGTTTCAAAATCTAAAATTCATTGCAGAGTTCTGAAATACTCCAGTATTTACAGAAAGTGGAGGCAGGGGGCGCCATCTGAAATCCATTAAATGAGCTCTACACCAGAACTGAACCAGGACTAAACCAGGACTAAACCAGGACCAAACCAGGATTAAACCGATACTTAACTAGTAGTAGTAGTAGTAGTAGTAGTAGTGGTAGTAGTAGTAGCACTTGTAGTAGTAGTAGTAGTAGTAGCAGTAGCAGTAGTAGTAGTAGCACTTGTAGTAGTAGTAGTAGTAGTAGTAGTAGCAGTACTAGTAGTAGTAGTAACAGTAGTAGTAGCTAGTAGCAGTAGTAGTAGTAGTAGCAGTAGGAGTAGCAGCAGCACAAGTAATAGTAGTAGTAGTAGGAGTAGTAGCAGTAGTAGTTGTTGTTGTACTAGTAGTAATTGTACTAGTAGTAATAATACCAGTAACTATGGTAGTTAAAGTAGTAATAATAACAGTAGTAGTAGTAGTAGTAGTAGTAGTAGTAGCAGTGGTGGTAGCAGAAGTAGCAGTAGTAATAATTGCAGTAGTCGTGGCTGTAGTATTAGTTGTACTAGCATTACTACTACTACTACTAATAGTATGGCAGTAGTATTACTAGTACTAGTAGCAGTAGTAATAGTAATAGTAGTAGTAGTAGTAGTAGTAGTAGTAGTAGTAGTAGTAGTAGTAGCTAGAGGAGGAGGAGAAGTCCAAGAAATGACTCAAGTAAGGATAAAAAGTATTTAAGAAAAGTAGTAAAGTAAGTAAAAGTAAAAGTAAATGAAAGAATCAGAAGAATCTGGAGTTTTCAAAGATCAGACCCAAAAATGAGACAAACTAAATCAGATCTGGAGCCAGAAACACAAATGTTCAAATCATTTCATACAGATTTTTATATTTTTACTCACATAAGAATACTGTTACACTGTACTATATATTACTCACATACTGTTAGTAGTACTGCTACTTCAGAGTTACTCAAGTAAATGTAAGTGAGTACTACCCACCTCTAGGTACAGGCGTGGTCTATAGTCACTGTTAACTAGTACAGTAGTGAGTATGACATGCACAGATTCAGTGGTGGCTCTTGAAAAGGCCTTTCAGCGCCCTCTGGTGTTTGCTGATGAAAATGTCATTAGAGGAATCTTCATAAAACAACTTCAAACCTCCAAATGTTCACAATACACCCCCCGCCCGCCGCCCGCGCCCCTCCCCTGACATCACAGCCTCCCGTTTGACTGACAGCTCTGATCAGGACTCCTCTGTGTCTCTCATCTCCAAATGTTTTTCCTGGTACCAAAAATAACCCCTGCCCCAGACAGAGAGGGTTTGAGACGAGACGCTGCGTGTGAGCGAGAATACAGCCTTTTCACTCAGATTACACAAACGCAACAATTATTAAAGTGCACCAATTCTGCAAAAGGGACTTTTCAGAACTTTTAACGGTGTTCTTTCTTCTTCTTTTTGACCCTCTGAAGTTATATTTGAAGTGATTTGTGCATCAGCCACAATTATCACCTCCACTGTACAGCCTGTTAGTGTTACGCAGTTACCCAGCTATCCTTCAGTGTCTCTGGGTTAAGCCTGCATTTGACCCATCATTTGGCGTTGAAAAGGTTGTTGTCAAATTTCCATATGAAAACTTTAAATGATGTTCTCACTCTTAATCTTCTAAATTAAATAATAATAAAACAAAAGAAAAAGTTGTAAGGGAGACACGAACTCCTGTTTCCTTTCCCCCTGGTGGTTAGAGATGGGAGAGAGTGCAGCATCCTAACAGCCTGGTGGATGAAGCTGTGAGTGAGTCTGGAGGTGCAGAAGGCTCCTGTACCTCCATCCACAGAGTAGGAGGAGGTGCAGGAGGCTCCTGTACCTCCATCCACAGAGTAGGAGGCTGAACAGGTTGTGTGTGGGGCAACTTGCACTCACAGTTGTGATGGCTTTGCGGGTGAGACGGATGGTGTATATGTGGGTGGTATATAAGCGGGTGACGCGAGTGGCGTATATGTGAGTGAGGCGGGTGGTGTATAAAGGGTTGTGGCAGGTGGTGTATTTGTGGGTGGTGCATATGCGGGTGGTGTATAGGTGGGTGGTGTATATGTGGGTGGTGAATATGTGGGTGGTGAATATGCAAGTGAGGCAGGTGGTGTATAAGGGGTTGTGGCGGGTGGTGTATGTGTGGGTGGTGTAAATGCAGGTGAGGCAGATGGTGTAAATGCAGGTGGTGTATATGTGGGTGAGGCAGGTGGTGTATATGCGGGTCGTGTATGTATGAGTGAGGCGGGTGGTGTAAGTGCGGGTGAGACGGGTGGTGTATATGTGGGTGGTGTACATGGGGTGTGACATGTGGGTGAGGCGGGTGGTGTATGTGCAGGTGGTGTATATGCGGGTGGTGTACGTGCGGGTCGTGTATATGTGGGTGGTGTACATGTGGGTGGTGTATATGTGGGTGGTGTACATGTGGGTGGTGTACATGTGGGTGGTGTACGTGGGTGGTGTATGTGGGTGGTGTATATGTGGGTGGTGTACGTGCGGGTCGTGTATATGTGGGTGGTGTACATGTGGGTGGTGTATATGCGGGTGGTGTATATGTGGGTGGTGTACGTGTAGGTGGTGTACATGCTGGTGAGGCGGGTGGTGTACGTGCGGGTGAGGCGGGTGGTGTACGTGCGGGTGAGGCGGGTGGTGTATGTGCGGGTGGTGTGTACGTGCGGGTGAGGCGGGTGGTGTACGTGCGGGTGAGGCGGGTGTGGTGTACGGGTGCGGGTGAGGCGGGTGTGGTGTACGTGCGGGTGAGGCGGGTGGTGTAAATGCGGGGTGGTGTATGTGTGGGTGGTGTACGTGTGGTGGTATATGCGGGTGAGGGGGGTGGTGTAATGTGGTGCGGGTGGTGGTGGTAAATGCGGGTGAGGCGGGTGGTGTACGTGCGGGTGAGGGCGGGTGGTGGTAATGCGGGTGAGGGGGGTGTGTACGTGCGGGTGAGGTGGGTGGTGTAAATGCGGGTGAGGGGGGTGGTGTACGTGCGGGTGAGGTGGGTGGTGTAAATGCGGGTGAGTGTATGTGTGGGTGGTGTAAATGGCGGGTGAGGTGGGTGGTGTAACGTGCGGGTGAGGTGGGTGGTGTACTGCGGGTGAGCGGGTGGTGTACGTGCGGGTGAGGCGGGTGGTGTACGTGCGGGTGAAGCGGGTGGTGTACATGCGGGTGAGGCGGGTGGTGTACGTGCGGGTGAGGTGGGTGGTGTACGTGCGGGTGAGGTGGGTGGTGTACGCGGGTGAGGCGGGTGGTGTGGTGCGGTGAGGTGGGTGGTGTAAATGCGGGTGAGGCGGTGGTGTAATGCGGGTGAGGTGGGTGGTGTAAATGCGGGTGAGGCGGGTGGTGTACGTGCGGGTGAGGTGGGTGTGCGGGTGAGGTGGGTGGTGTAAATGCGGGTGAGGTGGGTGGTGTAAATGCGGGTGATGAGGTGGTGTAGGTGTGAGCGGGTGATGCGGGTGAGAAAGAAGCGTGTTGCGGGTGGAGGCTTGTGCCCTGGCGTGATTAGGTTGATAAAGTGAATGTCAACAGGAGTTAGATGTTTGTGGTTGTGTTTGGCCTCAGCTCTGGGTTTGCGTTTGTTTTGACAGTGTCAGAACTCATCCAACTTCCCACTGCCAAAAATCTGTTGGGGAAGAAAATATTTCAGTTCTCTGAGGCTTCACTTTGAGCTTTGTGACGTTTATCATGGAGGATTACATCTACAGCATCTGGCAACCCTCTCCTCTGCATCTTCTGCTCCTCTGGCATTCTCCTCTGCTCCACTAACCCTCTCCTCTTCTCCTCTGACCCTCTCCTCTTCTCCTCTGACCCTCTGACCCTCTGCTCCTCTGCTCCTCTGCTCCTCTCTCCTCTGTTCCTCTGTTCCTCTGCTCCACCGACTCTCCTCCTCTGACCTCTCCTCTGCTCCTCTGACCCTCTCCTCTTCTCCTCTGACCCTCTCCTCTGTTCCTCTGATCTTCTCTCCTGTTCCTCTGACCTTCTCTTCTGCATCTTCTGCTCCTCTGACCCTCTGCTCCTCTGTTCCTCTGTTCCTCTGCTCCACCGACGCTCTCCCCTGTTCCTCTGACACTCTCCTCTGCTCCTCTGGCATTCTCCTCTTTTCCCCTGACCTTTTCCTTTGCTCCTTTGATGCTCTCCTCTGTTCCTCTGACCCTCTGATGCTCTCTTCTGCATCTTCTGCTCCTCTGACCCTCTCCTCTGCTCCTCTGATGCTCTCCCCTTCTCCTCCGCTCCTCTGACCTTCTCCTCTGCTCCTCTGACCGTCTCTTCTGCATCTCTGCTCCTGTAACCTTCTCCAATGCTCCACTGACGCGCTCCTCTGTTGCTTTGATGCTCTCCTCTGTTCCTCTGACACTCTCCTCTGTTCCTCTGCTCCATGCTCTCCTCTGTTCCTCTGACCATCTCCTCTGCTCCTTTGATGCTCTCCTCTGTTCCTCTGCTCCTCTGATGCTCTCCTCTGTTCCTCTCTCTTCTGACCTTCTCCCCTGCTCCTCTGACCCTCTCCTCTGCTCCCCTGACGCTCTCCTCTTCTCCCCTGATGCTCTCCTCTGCATCTTCTGCTCCTCTGACCTTCCCCTCTGTTCATTTGACACTCTCCTCTGTTCCTCTGACCCTCTCTTCTGCATCTTCTGCTCCTCTGATGCTCTCTTCTGACCCTCTGCTCCTCTGTTCCTCTGCTCCACCAACGCTCTCCTCTGCTCCTCTGATGCTCTCCCCTACTCCTCTGCTCCTCTGGCATTCTCCTCAACTCCTCTGACCTTCTCCTCTGCTCCAGTGATGTGCTCCTCTGTTCCTCTGATGCTCTCCTCTGTTCCTCTGACACTATCCTCTGTTCCTTTGACTTTCTCCTCTGTTCCTTTGATTTTATCCTCTGTTCCTCTGCTCCTCTGACCTTCTCCTTTGCTCTTCTGACCTTCTCCTGTGCTCCTCTG